TTACCTTTGAATCTGGATATACTTAATAAAGTCCTAAAATTTTTGAATAACTTTAAAGGTTTAATATTACACTGTTAAATGCGCGCATGTTTATTCAACGAGTCGGTGGTTTTTGAGTTTGACATTATTTACCGAAAAGGGGTTATACAGTATATTTGATTCTGGTCATGAACCAAAATTAAGTAAAACGTTGATTCCCAAACCAAACTAAGTAGTAATGCCGTAATTAAAAAAAGGGTTGGATAGGATTTTATTTAGAAACTCCCTGCAATCAATAAAATTCAGATTTATTCAATAGCATATCACCAATAAGCTTACACAATATACTCGCGAGCAAAGCAACTCACATAATTTATATAATCCGGGCTTTCACATGCTTCATATTCATTTATCAAATCTGCTACAACTTCTCTGTGAACAATTAAATAATATAGGTATAGATAGAGTATTGCTAACGTACTGGAATAATTATGTAAATAATACCTGGAAACGTCAAATTCATCCAAGTTATCAGCAAACATATCTTCTTTTCTATATTGTTCTAGAAAAGCACCGCGTTTTCTGAATCGATCATAATGATCACATGTACGTTTCAGAAGCTAGTTATTTATCAAACAAAATAAGTTTGATAAAATTGTACAAATGGCCCAAGTAGTATTATAATTAAACTTACTGAAGCAATGCTAGTATGATTTGCCAACATTAATCCGCTTACACGATGTGACGTCTGAACATAAGGCGATTTTTTTGTCAGGGCCACCTGAATACTAGCTGGACCCCAAGGAATGAATTGAGCCAATCGACGCTCACGAATTCTTAGCAAGGATTTATGCACCTATTCATTAATAGGTGGATATGCTAGCGTTACTATTGCAAGCGTATACTCTGACACATAGGCAGATAATAAACTAACATCTGTTGGGTCAGCTTCCCCTTGGATAATGTTCAGGACGGAAATATAACAACTTTTCTTTGAAGGATTAATTGAAACCATCTTGTTTTTTGGTTGTAATAGCCTTCTCATGACGTCAAGCACCGTTGTCTTACGTATGGACTTGGCCTACAATAGAAATTTAGGAACTAATAAAGTTGGGAAAAGAAATAACGATATATCCGAACAAAATCAAACCTTTTCAACTTTATCGCTCGTAAAAGGTGTATATGCTGTCATTAAATAGTGACATTTAGGTGTGGGAATCAATGATGCAATCATTCCAACAAGATCGTTATTCATATAACCAGGATAACGAAGAGTTGTTGTGCTTGCAGACATTACAGTTGACACCTAAATAAGCAATAGAATAATAATTCAAAATAAGAACAATTTCAATGGTGATTATTCAATTAACCATAACAAACTATACCAGTTGATTTGTCTGTGTAAATGTAGGTTTTTGAACATGAAGCCGATCACATGCAATTCGATTCAGAGCAGCATTATCTAACACGATCTAAAGTTATAATAAGTTTAATGAATTAATAGTTTTTCTTTTAATACATAGGACGATGTTATAAATGATACAATCACCACACAATCTGCATTACTAGTCAGTCTTCTTAAAGTTAATATACTGTTATATGGCTGAACAACCACATCAGAAAACTCCTCATTATTAGGAAATACGGAGTATGTTTGAATTAACTTTTTTGGATACCGATCATTGAGTCGTTCCAGAAGGAATGATCCCATACCAGAGCCTGTTCCTCCGGCAATTGAATGAAGAAGCATGAATCCCTATCATAATAACTCAAAATTAGAATACCAAATGAAGCACATGATAACAATAATAATAATAATACAGCAATAACAATAATAATACTTCTAGAGAATCACTCCCATCCGCTTCGCGGTCAATCATTTCAAATATGTCTTCGCATACTTTCTCTGCTTGTGAAAACCCATAAGCCCAAATATTACCGGCACCACCGCCATCTTTTGACAGATAAATGTTCTCGGGATTATATAGATTTGAATATGGAGAAGCCAAGATATTATTGATAACCTAAGCAACCGTTTGTTATTAAATTGTG